CAAAGGACACGGAGGCACCCTTGATTCGGCAAGGTCGCCCTACCCAGGGATGGGCGAGAGAGGAGGAGGAGGAGGAGGAGGAGGAGGAGGAGGAGGAGGAGGAGGAGGAGGAGGAGGAGGAGGAGGAGGAGGAGGAGGAGGAGGAGGAGAAAGAGGAGGAGGGAGGTGGAGGAGGGGGAGGAGGAGGAAGAGGGTCGCCGCCGCCGCGCCGTCGTCGTTCGCCGCCACCGTCGTCGTCGTCGTCGTCGTCGTCGTCGCCGCCACCGTCGTCGTCGTCGCCGTCGTCGCCGTCGCCGCCGCCGCGCTCTGCGCCCCGAGGCCTCCGCAGCTCCGGCTCGCGGCCGGCGCCCTGCGCCGCCCCGGCGGGGGGTCCCCCGCGGCGGGCCTCGGCGGCCCGCGGCTCCGCGCCGTGCCCGCGGGCGTGGAGCGCCTGGAGCTCCCGGAGGAGGCCGCGGCCTCGCTCTCGCCCGCCTCGCGGGCGCCGTCGTCGGCCAACCCCCACCCTTCGGCCTTCTCCTGTCCCCCTCCCACATCCTTGTTCCTTACTATTATATACCCCCACCTACCTCGTATTCCGGCCGATAGCAGCCCGATCCGGGACCTCCCATCCGGACTGTAAAAAATAAATACAAAGTGGCCGTTTTTCTTGTCAACATCGTCTTTCTTGTCGTCGACGATGCGAAAAGTGTGGCAGGAATGGGACGCGGCGCACATCGCGCGCGGCAGTCAATCTGGGCCCGCCCATCCTGACTGCAAAAATTCAATACAAAGTCTCAATTTTTTCCTCTCAGCATGGCCTGCCTTGTCGCCGACGGTGCGAAATATGTGGCAGGAATGGGACGCGGCGCACATCGCGCGCGGACGTCCATGCGGGCTGCGTGCCGTCCCATCCTGATTGTAAAAAACAATACAGAGTTGCCGTTTTCCTTTCATCATGGCCTGTCTCGTCGTCGACGATGCGAAATGCGTGGCAGGAATGGGGCGCGGCGCACGTCGCGCGCGGACTTCTGGGGCAACCCCAGGGCGGGAGTGGCCACCTTACTTGTCAGAAACAATGCCATGCTGATTTTCCTTGCCCACATAGCTGTTTTTGTCGTCCACCCTGCAAAAGTGCATGGCAAGAATTGGGCGCGGCACACCCATCTCCCCCCCCGCTCGAAGTAAATGAAATGACCTTCTCGCTTGGGCGCCGAGCGCAATTTTCTCAAAGTTGCGCTCCCGCTTTGGCTCCGGCGCATGTTTTTAGCTCGCCAATTCATTGGGCGCCGGGGCGTTCCACGAGGCCCTGGGGTGACGAATGCCTGGGAGGTTTTTGCTGGTTCAGGCTCTTGGAGGGCCTCCTGGTCTCCCCGTGGTGCTCGAAGCCAGGAGGCGCGGTACCGCGCCAGATGTCAGGGGATGGGTAGGGACCCCGAGTAGAGCTTCCATATATCATATATATATATATATATAATTTGTTTTGTATCATTAATATATCTATAATAATATATACTTCGCTATTTGAGGGCTGGAAGCGGGAAGACGTGAGAAGGCGAAAAACATAAGGAAAACCATGGGAAATCAACGATTTTACCCTCTTTGGGCTCTCTCGGGACGGCTCTCGCAGCTCTCTTGGGCTGTTCTTGGAGCCTCGTCGGGGTCTTTTTGGGGCCTCTCAAGGGTGGGGTGTGTGTGTTGGGGGCCTCTGGGGGGTCCCGGAGGCCTCTCGGAGGTCTCTGGAAGCCTCCTGCTCCCGCTCTTGGGCCCATCTTGGGCCTGTTCTGGGGTGGTCTGGGGCTGTCCTGGGCGCCTCTTCGGCAATCTTGGAGCCTTCTTGGCCCGTCTTGGGGCCGTCCTGAGGGTCTCTTGGGTGGTCTTGGGGCGGTCCTGGGAGCCTCTTCGGCGCTCTTGGACCATCGGAAGTTCGAAAACGCGAGAAGCCGAAAACATAGAACAAACCTATGAACATCTACGATTTTGGCCTCTTCGGGCCGTCCCGGGACGCCTCTCGGACCTCTCTTGGGGTCTCTTGGAGGCCACCTGGGAGCCTCGAGAGCCGTCGGAAGGTTGACTTGAGCTGCTCGGGAGCGTCTTGGATCACTTTCTAATTCTGGGGGCTTCTGGGAGGCGTCTTGGGCACTCCTGGGACGCTGTGCAGGCTCCCCGGAAAGGCCGGGGGAGCGGTACTGGGAGCGTCCCCGAGATGTGGCGGGGAGGCGTGGGACGCGGGGCCAGGGGGGCGGTATTAATTCATTTATATTATATAGAACCGTACGCGCGCTTCGCGCGCGCTTGGGTTCTAGCGCATGCCATGGCGTTGTTAGCTGCGCGTGCTTTTCGGACAGGCTCAATCCATGCCTTGCCTTACCTCGTCCTCCAATATTCATTATACGTCCTTCCTCGTTAACCTCGAGACTCTCTCGGTTGTCCTCGCTTTTCGTTTCTCGTTCTTATCGACGGCCTCCTCTTGCTTGGGATTATGCGGGGGCTTCGAGCTGTTCAGGGCCGGCGTGGGAAGATATTCAATATGAAGTGGGCTGGCTTGAAATGTACGGGTCTCTCGTGGATCTTCCTGTTTGGGCTGCCTTGAAGGCCTTGGGGCCCGCTTGGGCCCCTCTTGGGCTCTTCTTCGAAGTTGTGGGGCCGTCTCGAGCCTCGGCGCCATGTGAAGCTCTCCCGAAGCCATCCGAAGGAGACGAGCGTGAGATTTCTTGAATATGGAAAAACCTAAATGGCTTTTGCGTTTGTGGCTCTCTGGGGTCATTTGGGAGGGCCTTTGGGAGTTCCACTGGGGCATCTTGTGGCCCTTGGGGGCCGCCTTGAAACATCTTGGAGCGTCTTGGACCACTAAGGGACCATCTTGGCGGCCAGCGGGCGTCCTCCTGAACCAGCTCGGAACCCTCTTCAGGCCGAAAGAATCACCCAAAGACCCCCACAATTGGGTTGTGACGGGGGGAGTTTGGGAAACGTGGGTCACCCCTGGGCCAACCCAGTCCCCTCCCCCATGGGCGGTCCCGTCGTCATCTTCCGTCGTCCGACTTCTGTCGCCCGTCCGCCCGTCATGCTGTTTCTCTATGACAGCTCTGCCGCGGGTCTCTTCTAACGCTTGCTCTAAGTGGAAAGTGCCTGGGATGCAGCAGCCAGCGCTGTACATGAGCTGCTACCTTGGGCTGCAGCTCGCTAGATGCTGCTGCGTGAAAGGCGCTGCTACCCTGGGCTGCAGCGCCATGCAATCAAATACCCCAGCATGATGTATCCCACACTGCACTTGAACGAGAGATGGACATGCTTGGTTCGCGCATGAATTTCTGTCCTGAATCCTGAACGGATGAGCATCTAGCCCAAATCCAAAATTCCTGGATTCCTTGGGGCCTTCGGAGACTCCGCGAAACCGTTAAGAAGCCGGGAGGCGCGGTACCGGCCAGATGTCAGGGGATGTGTAGGACCCCCGAGTAGGAGTTCCACTTTGATGAAACAAAATTCTTGGAACTCCTTTTTTTCCCAAATCCTCGATCTTTGAGGGTTGGAAGCGGGAAAACGTGAGAAGGCCGAAAAACATTGGAAGAAAAGCCATTGGAAATCAACGATTTTACCCTCTTTGGGCTCTCTCGGGACGGCTCTCGCAGCTCTCTTGGGCTGTTCTTGGAGCCTCGTCGGGACCTTTTTGGGGCCTCTCAGGGATCGGGGGTGTGTTGGGGGCCCCTGGGGGGTCCTGGAGGCCTCTCGGAGGTCTCTGGGAGCCTCCTGCTCCCGCTCCTGGGCCCATCTTGGGCCTGTTCTGGGGTGGTCTGGGGCTGTGCTGGGCGCCTCTTCGGCAGTCTTGGAGCCTTCTTGGCCCGTCTTGGGGCCGTCCTGAGTGTCTCTTGGGTGGTCTTGGGGCGGTCGTGGGAGGCTCTTCGGCGCTTTTGGACCATTGGAAGCTCGAAAACGCGAGAAGCCAAAAACATTGGAAAAAAACAATGGACATCTACGATGGTTGCCTCTTTGGGCCGTCCCGGGACGCCTCTCGGACCTCTCTTGGGGTCTCTTGGAGACCACCTGGAAGCCTCGAGAGCCGTCGAAAGGCTGACTTGGGCTGCTTGGGAGCGTCTTGGACCATGCTTTCGAATTCTGGGGGCTCCTGGGGGGCGCCTAGGGCCCTCCTGGGGCGCTGTGGAAGCTCCCCGGAAAAGCTGGGGGAGCAAAACCGGGAGAGTCCCCGAGATGTGGTGGGGAGGTGTGGGACCCGCCCCGGGGCCGGGGGGGGGGGCAGTATTTGTTCATGTTATATAGAACCGCGCGCGCTTCGCGCGCGCTTGGGTGCTAGCGCATGCCATGGCGTTGTTAGCTGCGCGTCTTGGGGCCGTCCTGAGTGTCTCTTGGGTGGTCTTGGGGCGGTCGTGGGAGGCTCTTCGGCGCGTTTGGACCATTGGAAGCTCGAAAACGCGAGAAGCCAAAAACATTGGAAAAAACCAATGAACATCTACGACTCTGGCCTCTTCGGGCCGTCCCGGGACGCCTCTCGGACCTCTCTTGAGGTCTCTTGGAGGCCACCTGGGAGCAAGGGACCCATCCTCGTCCGGCGAGGAGCCATCCCCCGGCCGCAGATTCACAGCGCAGGTGCCAGAGCGCAGATTCGGCCGGTCTGTGGGTGGTGGCGATGGGTGGTCTACGGCGCATGTCCCCTCCGGCCCTCTGGGCAGTTCGTCTGGTGGGGTTGGGGTGATGCTGCAAATAGGCTGGGGCGGGGGAGCGGACAGCACCCGGGGCAGGGTTCATCGCAGCGGGTCCCGGCGTCGTCCGGGAGCGGGCTGGCGCAGGAGAGCGGGTCGACGTCTGGGTCGTCACACACAACAAACGTGAAAACACGTGGGCCCCTTTCGCGCCAGAGCGGAAGAAGCGGGATAAGACGTGGGTCCCTTTCGCGCCAAAGCGGGCCAAGAGGGAAAGCACGTGGGTCACTTTCGCTAGGCCTGTCGCAAGGATACTGTGTTTTATTGCTTTAGTTTGCTTTTCTCTCTCTCTCTCTGTTTCTAGATCTTGGGGGGGTACCGATGGAGAGGGGGGGAGCTTACAGAGACAGGGAGGCGCGGACTGGGGCGAAGACGAGGACCAGAACCACGAGGATGAGTCATTTCCTCACACCTCTCACCGATGAGGTGTCAAACAGAGGCCGTGGCAATCCTCACGGCCCCATAGCAAGTAATTTGTGAAACGAAGACCATCTATAGGACCAGTTCGCGCTTGCAGCGCAAAACGGGCTTGGTCACAGACGAGTGGTCCCCACCGCCGAGCAAACCGCCGACTGGATACCCCGACTTGCCCAAGTTCTTGACAAACAGATTCAGGTAGGAAATGCCTCCGCCAGTACGGCCCCATACGGTCTTCAATTGAATGGTGTGGAAGCTCAGCCAGCCCGTTCCTTTTCTGTGGGCCTGCGGCTGCTTGGCTGTGTAATGGAAGCCGCCCTCGCGCACGCCGTCCGCCCACTTGCCGGTTACATTGAGAGACACAAAGTAAACGTCCGAGCAGGCGTCGCCAAAACGCTGTGCCACGGCCGCGACGGCCAGGAACGTCGCGCTCTCCGCTGCAAACTGTGGGACCTCGACCAGCAAGTGTTTGCCGACCTTAAGGAGATCAAAGCGCTCCCCGTACACATTTACCAGGTGGGGATCCCCGACTGCAGCAGCAGTCGCTGCAGGCGTACGGGCTGGCGTAGGGGCAGGCGTCGGCGCCGATGTTGGTGCTGAGATCGGTGCCGACGTCGACGCGGGCGTCGGTGCTGGCGCTGGCGAAGCCGATGGTGCGGGCGACGGCGCTGGCGAAGGCACCGGCGTCGGTGCCTCGGTCCCGAAGACGCGAACGTGACCTGAATTTGACCCAGCACCGTCGTTGTAGATCGCTCCAATGGCCACGCGGCTGCCGTCGCTGCTCAGCGACACCGACGTGCCACTCAGATCGCCTGAGGCTTCGCCATCGATGTCCTGCCCCAACTGGCTCCATGTGTTGCCCGAGAGCCCGAAGACGCGAACGTGACCTGAATTTGACCCAGCACCGTCGTTGAATCTCGCTCCAATGGCCACGCGGCTGCCGTCGCTGCTCAGCGACACCGACCCGCCACTGAGATCGCCGTAGGTTTCGCCAACGATGTCCTGCCCCAACTGGCTCCATGTGTTTCCCGAGAGCCCGAAGACGCGAACGTGACCTGAATTAGACCCAGCACCGTCGTTCCAGATCGCTCAAATGGCCACGCGGCTGCCGTCGCTGCTCAGCGACACCGACCCGCCACTGAGATCGCCTGAGGCTTCGCCATTGATGTCCTGCCCCAGCTTGTGCTTCCCGAGAGCCCGAAGATGCGAACGTGACCTGAATTTGACCCAGCACCGTCGTTGTAGGTCGCTCCAATGGCCACGCGGCTGCCGTCGCTGCTCAGCGACACCGACCCGCCACTGTAAGGGCTTCGCCATTGATGTCCTGCCCCAACTGGCTCCATGTGTTTCCCGAGAGCCCGAAGACGCGAACGTGACCTGACTTTGACCCAGCACCGTCGTTGAATCTCGCTCCAATGGCCACGCGGCTGCCGTCGCTGCTCAGCGACACCGACCCGCCACTGTAATCAGAAGGGGCTTCGCCATTGATGTCCTGCCCCAACTGGCTCCATGTGTTGCCCGAGAGCCCGAAGACGCGAACGTGACCTGAATCTGACCCAGCACCGTCGTTGAATCTCGCTCCAATGGCCACGCGGCTGCCGTCGCTGCTCAGCGACACCGACCCGCCACTGAGATCGCCTGAGGTTTCGCCATTGATGTCATGCCCCAACTGGCTCCATGTGTTTCCCGAGAGCCCGAAGACGCGAACGTGACCTGAATTTGACCCAGCACCGTCGTTGTAGGTCGCTCCAATGGCCACGCGGCCGCCGTCGCTGCTCAGCGACACCGACATGCCAGCGTGATCGCCTGAGGCTTCGCCGTTGATGTCCTGCCCCACCTGGCCCCAAAAAACCCAATTCACCATGTGGTCAGCCGCCTCGACTTGGCGTCGTCCCTTCTGCTGGCTGGTGTTCACGTGGAGCACCAAGGAAGTCGCTGTAGACACGCCCTCGAGGTCGAGGCGAGGTCGAAGCTCGTGGCGTCCGTGCCGAGCTGCAGGAGCACGGCGTCCGCCTACTGAGGGTTGATATCCGCCGCTGCGGTCGTGCCGAAGACGCTGTCGACGAGGACAGGGATCAGCAAGCACACTCGGACAGACGCCTTATGGGCCATCGTGGAGCGCACGTTTCAAAAAGGCGAACTCGAGGAATAAACAAGTCAGTAAGGCGCGTACGTTGGCGTTTCTCGTTTGAACCAGATGGCGCCAAAATGCGACGGACACACACACACACACACACACACACACACACGCACACACACCACATATTATATATTATATATATATATATAATATATATATATATACACACACATACACACACGCACACACACACACACACACACGCACGCACGCACGCACGCACACACACACACACACACACACACAAACACA